CCGCCAGGAACGGCCCTAGCTGCTTTACATGGTAACATAAATATGTTGTAAATCTAAATTGCTTATGCTTATATATATGATCGTATGTCCGTTTCCCCGAGTTCACAAGTTATTTCATTGAAAACATTAATGGTGAGAAATCGAGAGCCTTTCCAAGGAAAGAAAGAACATCGCGTTGCAAATATCGCGATCGTAAAACTGATTCATCAGTTGTGAGAAATTTACTGAAACATCAACTATCATACATATAATATGATGGTAAATGGCAAAATCGTAAAAATAACAAATCAACAGAATTCATAATTCATTTTTCGACACGATGGTTACCAGTTGATTGCACTTCTGGAACAAGTACTTTTGTCCTAAATTGATGCGTTACTACGTAGTGTACGTCCGTCTTTGGTTCCGGTTATTTATGAAAGGAAGTTTACGATTGTTTGACCGGTCAATTAATTTCCGGTATTAACAATTGTAGGTAGTTGTAGCTTCTCTCCTTTATGTATTCACAGTATACTCGCTGTGCATGTATACCATTATCGTCTCATTCGTATTCTTCAAATTGACTCCAACGTAGTTTCTGATTTGGCATTATTTCCATCAAATTTAATTTGTGTTACGGATTAATGCATGTACATATGTACATGTACTAGATATCAATGTATGCACTCTTGACAAGTCAGTGGTATTACTACAGTACACTCTTCCCCGGTTAAACTGTTAATTAAACCGAATGTGTACGTAGAAATGAAAAGCGAGTGAATAGAGTAGGAGCAAACGAGATTGAACGTGACACTGCTGGAACACAGTATACACACGTGTACATATATGTGTATGTGTACCTACACATACATAACGTACGTATGTATATGTAATATTGTATGTATACGGTTCCTGCTGGTAGCAGGCAGGCAGGCTGCTGCTAATAAAGCGTGGCGCCGCGCATCGTCACTGTCCGATGCGTTCACTATACATATGTACCTAGTAAATCAACAGGCATATTTACTTACACTTCATTAGATCTTTATGACGATAGGTAATGTTAGACACCTTTTAACGATACACAATGCATGATTTCTTTCCGGCAATTTCAATTTTGTATCAATGAAAAATATTCTGACCGAAATTCTGTTAGAATATATGTATATTTGGGTGTACATCATCGATTCAGGGGTAAAGGCTGAATAAAAATCTATTGGAAAACAAAGAAATTTTGTTGTTAGGTTTAGCGATCAAGGTGGTACAAGCTACGCTAAGCACAGCCGATGGCTTTAGTGCGCATGCTCGGGCAAAGGTAGGAGAATAGAGCGCCATCGGCTGTTTTCTCCATGTTTTCTCTCTGTATTTACGAAATGCTGGATCTCAGAGGCTCTCAGATTCGTAGGCGGCCATTGCACAGCAGGTTAACCCGCTAGCTATAGAGAAATATGTTTACTCCATACAGAATGAGCACCCCATTGAGCGGGTGGACTTCAGGCAACCAACGGCCGAAAGTTTCCCCGCAACCGTCTTCACTTCTCCGCCTGGTCCTACTGACTCCTCCTTCAACCATCAGCTGTGCTTTTGTTAGTTTTTATGTATGTACGTAGTATACATATATATGTACATCATGTATGTATACCTATACCAACACAAATGCGTATGGTCTCACTCTCAAATGGCATACTTACAACATTACTTGCTCCTCTTTTCGATGCATACGCGGAACTATAGTTGATTTAAATAATTATAAACACAGGTACCTTTCCTAAATTATAAAAAAAACATGCTTACATACGGCATACCTATATTTATGCTGACACAGCAATCTATAGAATAATAATTAAACATATTTCGCATAGTATAAAAAGTAACTCATTCTTATAGATCACACTTGTAGTATAATGCAGATACGTTTCACCATAAGTAGTTGTATCAATTCCATATGTATGTCATTACACATACTGCATATACACGTACAGTGTACAGTGTACATTGTACATGTACACAACATCGAACCAGCTGTTACACTCATTGAATAACATCTGATCTGACAACGTGGGACCGTACGTTAAATACGTAGACATTCATTCTGATGCATGATTCAGAGGACATTCTTTCGGAACAAAGTTTCGCGCATGGACGCATTCATGGAATCAACGGATCTACGGACGAGATAAGAGTTGTCAAAGATCTCTAACGAGCTGTGTCGAGGTATTCGTACAATTTCCAGGTGAAATTTTATATCAATAACAATAGAAATAAATTCAAAGACTATAAAGTTTAGAACGGTATTGATATCAAGTGTTGCTATAGATAATTAGTACTGCATATAGGTACATCGTCGTATCTACGTATAAATCCAGGTGAGTGCAGTTGAAATCGGTAATATCGTAAAGCGGAGAGGCGCACGTACCTATGCATATGTATACGCGGTCGCGTTACGAGAGACTTTATTCGTACGAATCGACGACGACCGAAAATTACCGAAAATTACCGAGAATCACCGAGAGGCGAGAGCTAAGAGCCGAAGCAGATCCGAGATAGAACGAGAATACACGAACAGAACCGAATGGCCGCGTGGTGTTACGGAAGAACTCGCTGCTCGCTGCTGCTCGCTGCTGCTCGCTGCACCCTTGTGGTGTGTGGCTTAGTCGCTTAGCCGTGTCGTCGTCGTCAGTCGTCGTCGTTAGTCGTCGTCGTGACCAGTTGTGATCAGTCGTGACTCCAATCGTCGCGGTTGTTGTGTTTAGTGGTTTGAAGTTTTGTGCCTGCCTACAATTTGACTTTTTTCCTTTCTCACGATTACACTGCACACGCGCGTATAGTTTCCTTATTCACAATCCAAGTATATTCGTTTGTGTAAAATGGCACACGCCGTATCGGATAGAACGAATACTATCCCATTGAAGACGGCAGAAGGTGTGTACAGCTCAACGGTGGATCGCACTGAGATCGATTCCGAAAAGAACCCCGTTCTTCGAAGAATCGGAACCGATCGTACGAATATCGACTCGAGAGAATAGAAAAGTCGAACGAACACGAAGTTCGTATTGAAATCAAGTGTTCGTGTATGCACGTCAGTGGCAATGAGGACGCGCGGTTTGGATCGATGAAAAAATTGGAGTAGCAGTACCCGTTCCGAAAGAGGATGAAAGTGTACTAGAAGAACGACATATCCAGTGTGCGTCGGTGGTGCGGTTCCGCCTTCTTGTTCACTCGCAGTGTATTGCGTGCGTGCATGCGTGCTTGTGTGCGCGCGCGCATGTCTGCGGTGGTGCGTGCATGCGTTTAGTACGTACGGTTGTGTACTACGCGTTTATGCGTATATACAATTACAATTATTTCTGACACGTGTATGTGGTTTTGCGTGTGTAGCGGGCTTGCGCGCGCGCGCGCGCAAACCTCGCCGATGTCAGGAGTTCGTCGTACGAAAGCGGTCGTCCGTGTTGTCCGATAAGAATGGGATCGGTGGTGATTGGCCGCTGGTCAGTGCATTGACGCTACACGTTACTTTGTACGAGAATATACTCACGAACTGGCTGTATGGGTGCGAAGCGTGTACACATACTCGGATACAGGAGTGTACGTACACGTATAATGGCGAATATCTTGTACATTCGCGTGGGTGGTTATACGATATGACGTGGATGTGGGTGAGCGTTCTTTGTACGTATATGCATATGCGTATTTTAGTGGTAACGTGTAATGGCATGGAAATGAGGCGCGCGCGAGTGTCATCCCGAAAGATACGCCTCTCGCCTGGAAAGCTACTCTGTGCTCCAAACTCGAAAGGGGAATCGTCACGCGAGTGCTATCTCTTACCGGTTTAACGTCGTCGATTTCGAGTGCGTGATTTGTGTGGTTCTCATCATTTCGGTTATCCGTATTTCTAGGCTACGGTCACTTCGTTCCCTTTTTTTCTGCCAGCTTGTATCCACTTTGACAGCATGCGATAGCATCGAATACGAAACAACCGCAAAGGGTCTAGTTCGTGGTTCACGACATCCCAAATACCTTTGGACACCGAAAGAAAAGATGCGCAACGAGTGGCTAAGAAACTTGATCGCGATAACAGTTCTCGCCCTTATGGTTCATGGTAAGTCGAACAATTTTCCTTCAATTTCTTCTGCTCCTTTACCAGCTAGACTGATATTATCCAAAGTTGTTTTCCCATACAAACGTTGACTGGCTAACTAGCGAAGATAGAAAGGTATCTACTATGTACATCTACATACAGATATGTATATGTTTGTATACCGTGTATAGTTCCTACTGTTCCTACCCGATCACTCACTCATCTCGTTACTTTAGCGCCATTCGTTTCGACGAATCGATACGATGTTCGAGGGTTACCGAAAACGAGTACAAGTAGAAATACGTGTTTCTTCCATTACGGTGTCTCCAGGTGTTCCCAGCGACAGATGCGGAAACGCATTAAACTGGGAGGTTGACGCGAATGGTTAGTGTTGTTCAACGATTAATTATTGTTTGAAAATATGTACAATAGTATGTATAAATCGTGCACAGTCGGTAAATGGAATATTATCACGACAAGAATAGTGACCGTATCGGGAAACGATGCAACAAAGATGCAACAAAAATTGCTGTTTACCGGTATCATATTTGTACGACAAAAAATAAACGGTTCACGCTTAACCTTTTACCGCCCAGACCCTTAAATCGTTATTTCAAAATTATAAGACTGATATCTATATGTTGTATCTTGTTATTTTAATGACGAAAATATCGATATTAAACAGACCTGTTTTTTTTAAATTTTTCATTTTTTTTTTGTTATTAATTTTCGGAGGGAATACTTGAATTTCTCAACTGAAAACATGGGGGAGATCTACTATACAACAATGAAACTATGGTTCCTTGTTGACAAAAGTTAGATATTAACCGGCAACAGAAATTGACGCATTTTTAAAATTAGTGTTGTACCGTTGTAACATTGGGCGTTATTAAAGGGTTAAGGATAATTAAACAAATTGATTGAACGTATTGAAACAATAGATCGATCATTATGCAACATAAGAAGCGGACTTATGCATATTGTATCATAAATACATACAATAGACAATACACACTGAATCAATTGTTGCCTAATGCCACAGATATCAGCAGAAATAATCAGACATCGAGTTACATCGAATTTGTGGGATAAGCACAGAAATACATGAATTAGAGAGGATCAATAAATTAAATTTCTTCCAAATTAATCAAATACGAACAAGCAGTTACAAATGTTGCGTAGAAAATACACAACTGTTTATTGTGATCGAATTTAATTCAACCTTACACGACTAAACAAATTAAGCGGACAAGAAATTAGTATTAATTTTATTTTTTATACCGAGATACATATACTCGTTCGAAACATCTGAGTGTATGTAAGTAAAACCATTGAACAGAGGGTTTCGTCTTTGAAACATTGGAAACTGTACATATCATATTATGTCATCGTCGTACCTATGTATCTACATATATAATACCTTACACTAATGAGCAGCATCACCAGCCTCGTAGCAATAAATTAAAGAATAACTGCATTCGTTAAGAAATACATTTGGATATCATAGAAAACTACATACATATGTATGTGGAATAATATTTTATCAAGTTATCCTTCCTTGAAGTTTTTAAATTCCGACATCAATGGTAAGATATAAAAGTCGCACGGCAATGAACGTATTAGATCCAAGGATAAAGCGGGGGAACTAATATACATACATACATACATACATACATACATACATACATACATACATATGTAATAGGTACAGTTTTTCCTATATTGTATAGTTTTCGCGAACCGAGCAATTGGAATCAATAACTTGTTTGAACGAAAAAATTAATAGAATTGTTAGTTTTCCAAGTATGCGCTCCTTTTTATCGAATTACAATTATTGAAGGTTGAACAACTTGGTCATTTAATTCGGGACAATTTTCTATTGTAACTATATATATTTTTCACTTCTGAATTTACACTTCTATTTACATTCACTTTGTCTCCCTTGTGTTCGTTATAATTGCAAAACACACGCAGTTAAGCAAACTGGGAAGGAAAAAGCAGCGGAACGTTTGCTATATGTATATGTTTATATTGAAAGCGATACCAAATCATTATTATACCCAGGTACTATTCCATGTGGTTCTGTCGAATCAAACGATATTGTTGTGCATCTCTCTTTTAATCACGGTGAGCACGCGTACCTTGATCGACTCGCGCGGACAGTAACATTCATGACTACGTTTTCTTTCGTGTAACAATCAGAAGGTGTGTCAACATTTTTGTCAATCTAAGGAATGTCCAATCTTACGTGGAAGAACAATCCATGTACGAGACAAATAGTTTGTCCAAAGTTTACGAATGGAGCACTGTGGCATAAAGTTTTTTTTTATTGTTTCGGTAATATGGATCCGTTGTTATACACACCAATAGACAGTATTGGAACAAGTGTTAAAGTGACAAAGTGCTGTGAATATAAGTTAAAAATTTTCATTCAACACGAAAGAAATTTTTAATTGAAGCATATGAGACAGGTGCGTGTAGTATGTCTGCTGTATCTATGGATCTATGTATGTACATTACGAGTGTACGACGCGATGAAAGCTCCACGATGCATAACAGACACACATATGTATGTATTATGTATAATATATACGTGTACGGTCGAAAGTAATTCGTGCTATAGTTGCTAAATCTTTCCGATTTTCGTTTAAACCATTCGACTAGGTAGTCTTTGAACGTAATTGCAACAAATATTAGTAAACCCAGCCCATTATTCTTACATTTATATACCGTAATTTGCGACGGATTAGAGCATTTTTCGTCCAACAGATTCACCACGCATGCAGCATGTATGTACCTAATACGTATCTACATGCTGAACAAAATGAACACTATGTACATAGCATCAAAGGACCATGTATGTACTCGTTGGCTTTGAATGATGCACAGTGCATAATATTTGAAGGTGTAAATACATATTATGTAACATTGTATCTTCCACTAGAAACATTATTATCGGACTCTAGACATGTATTGGTGGTTGGAAAGTTGCGAAGATAGCCGAGATTAGCCGACGTTAAACGAGACTATGTATCGGGGTTATGTGCCGGGCTACGTAACGACGGGAAGTGTTTCCCTATTATAATACGAATCTTATACTTATGTACATATGTACGATATGTATGTATATGTATATACTTATACTACTAAATATATGTAGTATACGTATGAAACATGCACTATTTGAATGAACGGTGTTACATATATCCATGTACAGAACCGTATCGTTAGTTATTACTTTTACTTTCATTCTCTGTACGTATCTATGTTCCATACATGTATGTATGTATACAAAGTGCCCCAGGTAACTTGATCACCTCAAATAATGACTTAACGGTACACTTTATGAAAATTTTTTAGCGTGGAACTTAAATGGCATCGAGGGTCACATCTTATAAGGTACGATCTTTTTTTATGGGTACAGGCATTTCAGAGATCTCAAGGTCACCTCGATGTTTTTTCACCGTTCAAAAATACCAAGGTGACCTTGAAATCTCTGAAATGCCTGTACTCAAAAAAAGATCGTACCTTATAAGATGTGACTTTTGATGTCATTAAAGTTCCACACTAAAAATTTTCATAAAGTGTACCGTTAAGTCATTATTCGAGGTGATCAAGTTAGTTGAGATACCCTGTATATCGACAGAAATCTCTTAAAGTCCGTTTACGACAATGAAACTGATACCAATTTGCTGTCGAGACGTTACTTCTCCATTGTAAAATACATTTCGATTTTAAATTGATAATACTCTGTATTTCATTTTGTATGCATCACCAAAAAAAAAATAGCACACATTTTTATAGTGTATAATACTAGATTACTTTGAAAGTCGACACTTTTTTCGGATTAGTTGAAGTCAAGGCACCAAAAGAATTCTTGATTCGAGGGCGTTATTAATTTCTCAACGTATAGAATATATGTATGTATATCTTTGTGTCTTAACGTTCGCTGTAAAACATTCCTGATTAACTATCGTGCAAACTTTAAAGATTTTTCACGAAACTCATAATAAACCTTCTGTAAAAAAAGACGACCTATCTTGTTTTTATCACTTTTAGAAGACCAAAAGAATTACAGCGTTATTATCTCCGATTGTTGAGAAACCTGTATGTATACTACAAGAAAGAAAGTCTGAAAGTACTTTTCAGGCTTCACTGCTGATACTGATTTTACTCTACTTTTGTTAAGAAATGCAATCGTCGCGTTGCTACGTGTGGTGTACGATATCGTATCGTACAGGAGTCGAGCCGTACTGTGCGCGTGATACTACTACCATGGGAGAAACTGGACGATCGATAGCCTCGGTTCGTAAGACAATTTCTTCCGAGGTTGAGAGACAAAACTAACATATGTGTGTGTGTGTGTGTGTGTGTGTGTGTGTGTGTGCGTGCGTGTGCGTGCGTGCGCGTGCGTGCGTGCGTGCGTGCGTGCGTGCGTGCGTGTGTGTGTGTGCGTGCGTGTGTGCGTGCGCGCGTGTGTGTGCGTGTGTGTGTGTGCGCGCGCGCGCGCGCGCGTGTGTGTGTGTGTGTGTGTGTAGGGGAGGGGGGCGGGGGTTAAAGGTTTCTCCATTAGGTATCGCTATTTTTGGTGAAGTCGTATAAATTGAGAAAAACAACGGGAAGCAAATGGAAAACGGAGTAAAAATAGAAATAGAAGTGGAACATCGATCCTTTCCGAGTTATGCTATCTTATTTACTCTCGAAACGTTGCTATTTTTTTTATACAAGCTTAGATGACACAGCTCGGAAAGAACTCTGGTAGGGTGTGCCAGCGGAACCCTCTTCCAAGGTTCTGTGCGTCTTAGGTTTCCCCCATGTCTTAAGGAATTCAACGGTTATTCCTGTTTCGTCTTCTAGCTTCCCCTCTCGAATGAATATCCTTCTTGGAGAAAGAAGTACCGAAACTGTTTCTTCTTTCAGTCTCTCTGTCTCTCTCTCTCTCTCTCTCTCTCTCTCTCTCCTCCTGCCCTCCCTCATTCTTTCATTCCACGGATACTTCGTTTTATGGATATAATAGTATAGGAAGGAAGTATTATTGTATATCACTGCATTTGTGTAGAATTAGCCTGTACACGTAGAATCTATAAGAAACTTCATTATTCGTAATTTTATGTTGCCATCATCAATCTTTGCAGTTGATCCTTGAAAAGAATCAAATCGTACGTACGGAATATTGAAAAATTGAAAATAAAAAACAAAGAAACGTGAAACATGAGATTCCTTGGTTGGAACAACGGAACTGTAAAAATTAAAATAACAAAAAAAAAATATTAAAATTCATAATTACTTTCGAAGAGAATAAATGTTCCGTTTCGCGTTAGGTCGATTTGAGGGGATTGTAGTTCGAACTCGATAATTTCTACATTCGCATATGCGCATAATTGTTTCGAAAAAATGGGAATAGTACAGTTACTTTGAAGAAGCATGGAGAAGTAAGATTGGTAATCTACACAGCTTGGTAATGATTTCAGAATAGGACAATCCTCGCTACGATCTGCTGTGGTATGCTTTTGGAGATTCGCCAAATGTAGTTTGGTAGTCTATAATGCGTATTCTTGAAGCTATATTCCGTTCTATTATATGTAGGTATATCCGTGTTCTTTGCTTTTACATCTGATCCTATTGATTTTTAAGCACTTCTCCGAACGTTACGGTACAAACGTATTCTGTTTCCTATTCATCTTTTATACATACATACGTGTTTTCGATTTATGCCATAGAAATTCTTATGGTTATTAAAACGGTTGCTAATGCTCCATACGTTTACGGACAGAGCGATGATAGGGAATGAGAGGGAAGAGGGGTGGGGGCAAGTGAAACAGTTTCAATTATTAAAATTCGCGTGTATTGCCGTGTAGAAAACTGCACGACGAAGCTAAACAGTCGAAGAAAGAGAAATGTGTGGAAAGGAAAAGGAATGGTAAAAGATAGGAAAGAAAGGAGAATCGATTTAGAGAGCGAAAGAGGGCAGTAAAAGGAAGAAAACTGCAAAGCCCGGTAGAGCTGGTAGAACCGTTAAGGGCAGCAAAACTGGCAGAACAGAGCCGAAGCAACAGCGGCAAATCAATACTCGCGTCGCAGTCGTGAAGCCGTATGCCAAGTCATCGTGCATTTAACCACTCTACACTTTAGCACTAGGTTTACGGACATTTCTTGTATACCTATCTCTACGGACACGCATCAAATTGACGCGTGTACGAAATCGCATATTTTCGTTCATATTTATTGCTGAAGTAATGCTTTCATGAATCGAGCTCGTTTACTAGGATTAATACCTACTCAATTTACGATTGCGTCAAATTGACGACACCCGTAGAGATAGGTATACCACATAGAGAATTCCGAGATTAAAAGGCTTAGAAGAAAATGAATTGGGATATATATTTGTCTCGTTAAAACAATAAAAGTCAGCATAAATGATAGGAGAGAAATGTAAACGGTTTCGGTCATTTTCCTTGTAAATTTCAGAATGCGTCAAAATGACGCGTCCCGTAAACCTAGTGTTAAGCACCGTGTATTATCTTTATACTTTTATTTACTGTATCAGAAATTAGTGATGTGTGGGTCGAAACAAAAAATCGATCATCCCATACGCTTACACACGATCCAAAAAATTGCTTCGGTACTCGATGCTGGATTTGCATGTACACATATCCTCGATACTTTTTCGTCGGTAAAAGAAGATGTACAATCCAGAGGAGCATATAATCTCCTGCAAATAATAATTATTCTTTCGTTTTTTTCATACTCACTTAGTAATCAAGATTTATAAGAATGTATCAAATTGACAATTTTTAGATCAAGCGTGTTACGCACGTAGAAGACGTAACACGTAACTCGTATATTCTCCGATTTTCCCTTTTTAGAATTTCTCGGTGATTGGAGTTCTGCATAAGTAGAAATAATTGGACTGCATATTGTTATCGTTTCATTCTGCTGATCGCGATAGAATTCGCACGAAACATGTAGTGCGGAAATGTGCAAAAACATCGCGTTAAGATGAAATAGACATGTTGTTTAAAAGAAGAAGGGAAATAGAATCGATCGTAGGAAAGTGTAATGAGGGAACCAATGACACCGAAACACTAGATTCGGCTAGATCGAGAAATCAAGTGGAGTGAGAAACAACAGATTTGATGGAACACAAAAGGAATGAGAGTGGCGAAGAGTTGGCAATGCAGGTTGTCTGGATAGCTTGATTCGGAGGAGTTAGAACTGAAATGAAACGAGATGCCTCGGGCCTACTGAACGCAAAAGCTGCGCGTTCGTTCGTCGTCACGCGTTCACTTTACTACGACTCTGTTCAACAGCGAAATATGAAAACTCCGGAGGCGATTTTAATTTAGCCACAGCGTCTATTGTTTCCGAGTACTGAGCCAAGAACACAAAAGAAAAATGCGCTAGTGTGCACGCGCTTGCGCGTTCAGTTTCATGCCCGCGTTCACGAAAGACCGGCCGAGAAATTTGGAGAATACGAAAAACATTATACTTACACATGCATGTATAAAAACTCTTTTAAATTTAACAAAAAACGCTCCCTACGCAGGACCTTACAAAGAGTAATATAATCTTACAGATGCATGTACAAGATACATATCGTACATACTTGGCCAATAATGTCTAAACACTACACGCGGCTTCATTTTATTAATTGCTATTTTTTCAAGCGTGTATTCCTCGTTTCTTCATTTACAATTTCCTGCACCTATTCTCTGTAACTAGTTGTATCGAACTGTACGTAAGGTTCGTATAATTATGCAGGCCGTGTGGTTTATTTCGGCACAATCATGTTCGAATTTCGTTCAAGTAACAAGTATTGTGAATCGAATACTTGTCCTTCTGTCCTCACGTGCGATATAGGAGCTTGAAGTAAAGATGAATATATACCGCGAATCACCGGAGCTCTTAATGTGTATTGTCAAGTACGGTAAATCCTCGACGAGTGTTCGAAGAAGGCTCCTCGGCACTGAACATTACATGTACATATTTCGAAATTCTCGAAATTCGAGAAAATACTCTGAACCCTTTGACTGCGGCGCGATATGCGCATATTGCCAGTCAGTAAGAAAAAATATACGAAAAAAAAAATCTAAATTTTATGTTAGATCAATTTAGTAAAACGGTAAATGTTTTATAACGATGAAAATTTAGAGGGCGTATATACATACATATGTATATACGCCTTTCATAGTCAAACGGTTGGTATAAATATACAGTATTACTCGAGTGCTTTCGTTTTGGACGTCTTCCACAAATAGAATTAGCAGATCAATCGCAAAGCGATTGTAGACTACCTTCGGTTGCCGGTCATACGTTGTCGATACGTTCCATTTCGGAATTCCCGTAGCTATATACGTATCGAGATAGTTGAAATATCTTTGTTGAAACACGCATATCGAAGCTAGATATTCAAGTGAATGTATTGTTCGTCTTCGATGTACAATCGATAATCTAGAATCTAGACTCTAGACTCACTAGAGGCATCATGCAACTGAATTGCGCGGTCCCAAAATTGCAACGTACGATCACGATACGTAACAGGAATAGGTAATATTGCTCATTTTCTGCGATAACGACATAACTGAAAAATCACGGTTACAGGGAAAACGAGTTTGAATGGTTTTGATCGTTATAATTTTGTACGCACATCATATTAACGAGACTGTCCCGACGTTGTAAATTGGAAGCAGTTATGTACAGGATTCAATCGATTATTAACTCAGAAACTGCAAATTTTGAATTATGTCATTGTTGGAGCAAATGAGCGGTTTTTTATATATATATATATATATGTACCTACGTATAATGTTATGGACGGATGCAGATACGTATTGTATAACCATATGTAACTGATATAGATAACACGAATTGTCATTACCGTTAAGACGAACGAAAACGAAATTACATTGTACCAGTACTTAACCATTAATCATTTCTGTGATTCGATACCATGTACTCCATGCGAACAAAATTCTTGTTTCAGGGCAGTTGAGATCGCCGCGCATAACGGAACATCCTTCGGACATAATTGTGGCGAAAAACGAACCGGTAACATTGAATTGCAAGGCAGAAGGTAAACCTCAACCAGTGATCGAGTGGTACAAAGACGGTGAACTGGTTCAAACATCACCGGGAGATGCAAAGTCCCATCGTGTTCTTCTTCCTACGGGATCTCTTTTCTTCTTAAGAGTAATGCACGGAAAAAAGGAACAAGATGGCGGAGTTTATTGGTGTGTTGCAAGGAATCAAGCTGGTTCTGTTCCGAGTCGAAACGCCACCCTGACCGTTGCAGGTATGCATTTATTTGTTCTCTTTCTTTCTATCTCCCCGTTTCATACAATGCAAACGAAGAAACGAACAAGAATTCATTCACATTTGCTTTACAACAAAGAAGGAATGCGATGTGTACTATGTATATACATATATATACATGTATATACATATATGTATATACATAGTACACACATGCAGTGCTGCCGGGAAGAGAATTTGGAATATTTTTAAGTAACAGGAAATAGCGAAACCGTTAGAATGAATCATAGATTCGAATGGAATCGAATTTGTTTCGAGCCGTTATTGCCTACTTATTTCAGAAGAAAAAGCAGAACAAAAAGTAAGAGAAGAAGCCACACTACCCATCTATGTATATCGTAAATATCTACTACATACATGCATATGTACATACATACATACATGTATACAAACGTACACACACACACACACACACACACACACACACACACACACACACACACACACACACACTTATCTTTGCCCTCTATGTTTATAATATATCTATATATGTTCTGATCGCTGAATCGACAAAAAGTTTTCTTCCAGCAAAAATTTGTCACAGTTATGTTTCAAAGTCGCCAGTACTTATTAAAAATGATGTACATAATACAATGTGTACAATATTTTTACAGTTTCGATTTCCCATTACTCATATTTCTCCAAAAATTACTACCCTTACTATCTATTTTAACAACCTTAATTGTATCCTTCAAATATGCAGGATGTACCTAGGAATGTAAAAGTTGTAAGTTTCATGTTTAAGAAGCTGCAAAGCCAAAAAACTCGAAACAGTAGTTAAGAAACGGAATTAAAGAACGGAAAAACGAAGACAAAGAGACAACAACGGACAAGAAATTAAATAGACAGGAATAAAAGTAGCAATTTTGTAGTCGAAATGTGAGCATTTATTCGCGCCGCGTGTATGTGTCACACACACAAGCGCTCGCGTGCGCACGCACGCACTCATTCATACATGTTCCGCTGCTACCTACACCTACTAAACTATCCATCTATGGTGGTAGGGTAGTACATATACAGAAAGTGCGAGAGAGGTAGAGGGAAGAGAAAGAGAATAGAAATCGATACGAAGCTGTATCTACACAACGAGCTTATGCTTGGCTCGAACATAGTGCTGTGTTGCCCGACGCGATGCAGGGTGTATTGGTGTAATGTGTACGACTACGATATACATAGGTACCCATGTAAACGCAATTTTTATGCAAGGTTAAGAAAAGTAATCCTCGAAACGCGCTAACCAATTTCGTTGTTTTTACGTATACATAACAGTCCACGCACGATTTTCATTCTCTAGCATTTTTGAATATTTCTTTTTCTTTCATATACTTTAGTGCATTGGAATTGGAATGCGTAGGTTAAGAATTTCATTGCTCCTTACAATCTGTCATCCAATAATTTCGTTATACGTTATATGTAAATTGCAGAATAAAATATTATGTTTCTTTAAATCAAGATTCTCGATGTCCAAATAATCTACAAACATACATATGTATTATAGTTATAGTATGTATAGAGACATATGCGTCCCGCTCGGTCTATTATGTCTCGTTCGTACCGTATTCATCATACGCATACGTACATTCCCATAATGTTTGTGTATTCCTATTGCAATATCTTTTCCCCTTTTCGTTAACAAGAACGAGGATTAACGAGCAATGAAAATTATCACGCGAATCTGATCCCGTGTTTCAATGATACTTTCTAAAAAATTTATTTTACTTTTCACGCACGTTTCTGGTTATTCTACTTGTTACATAGTACACAGTACACACTGGCTGTATTCCTTGTTTCGATAATTTTTGTTCCACGTACCATGATACTCGACAGTTAAGATGGCGATACCAATGGCGGTAGGCACAAACGGCAGTTATGGCCGACCACTATGAATAAGGCTTTGTGCTACGAGCTCGCTGTTCGACCAACTTGCACCAAAATAAACTCTTGGGGAATTGAAAAAAAAGGGAAAGCAAGACACGTATAAAAGAAAGTAAATGACAGACAGGGATGACAGTCCATCCGAGAAATAGATGTGTTTTAATTGGTGTGTCGACGATCAGAAGGATGGAGGAAATCACAGAAATTGTATTCGACTTGTTTAAAAATCGATGTATAACGAAGGAAACCTTGGTACTGGTATGGTTGCGATATAATTAACGTCCACACACTTGTTCGCCGAATCTCAAGCATTCCAAGTACATATTTAATATGTGCATATAACAATCTCGTTGGCAGAAGTATGGCCCGACAAATTCGAGTTTATGAGAATCCGCAGTCAATTTGAGAGATTCAAGTTTCCCGATCAGCGATTCTTCACCATTTTCATTTCTTCTTTCTTCGATTCTCGCCTCGACGAAATAACACCTATACATCGTTTGCTTCCAACCCTCTGCTATCTGGGACCCTATTCGGTCCCTCGTTCGCTCCATCCACCGCGTATCGATTAGCCGGACGGACGGCTTGGTATATGTGTATGTATATGTATACATATACCGCTGTGCTACTATGCCCTGTGCCAGGGTTACTTCGCATGGCGTTTAGGGGGAAAGAGAGGAAGAAAATGAGAGCTAGAGGGTTGGACGAGCAAACGGAGCGGGAGATGCATAGAAGGAGAAAGATACAAAGAGGAGAGGTGGCGGAAGTGTGGACTGGGGAGGGTGAGAGTGAAGGAGAGCGAAAGCGAGAGGGAGAGGGAGCAGGCGTTACAGCTTTTAATCCCAACGGAGAGGACTACGACGAGGTGCTCTATATCGACGGATTCGTTGATACGTAGTGCCGACACGGTAAACGTTTCCGTTTATTTCGTTCAGACATTGTCGAAGAGTCAACGAAATATCGTTTTGGTATTGCCGCACGAGCAGTCTATTCAAGTTGTTCAAAAATATACAAGTGAACTGCTCATTATAAAATCGCAGCACAATCAAGTGACTACATGTATGTACGTAAATTTTCAGTACGTAATTAAATGCAAGTGTCTATATACCTAAATACATACGTACACAAGTATTTACATGATGTATACATATGTATGTATGCATATGTGTGTATGTATGTATAGGCAGAGCATGATAATAGACGCAACAATGTAACATACAAAGGTCGAAAAACGACAAAGTTCACTTGTCGAATATGTAACTAGAATATTATCATTATTGATCAAGTAGTAATTTTTTTACATTCAATAGGACGATTGACCAATAAACGAAAAAAACTGTACTTGAAAAAAGTAATTAAGAAATAAAGTTTTTTTTTTTTTTAAGTAAAGCAAACGTCGAAGAGTATCGCAATTATTGTTTATCGAACTATTGTTTTCATGAATGGTTTCACGAGGAAAAGAAACAATACCATCGTTGCTTATGTTCAGTGTTTAATAGACCGCGTACTCACTGCTTATGACAAGATTCAAGTAGCCTTTGTTCCCATTAAACCCAGAAGAACGAGACCTTCTCGCATCGCACACAATGCTCCAATGATTCTTGCCGCTCGCAGCCGGACCGCATAAGGCCAGAACGGAAAGGGTTATCGGTCCAGTATACATGTATGTATGTATGTATGTATGTATGTATGTATGTATGTATGTATGTATGTATGTATGTATGTATGTATGTATGTATGTACGTATATACCTATGTATGCGTGCGCAGTACCGCATAAAAGTATTCGAACGCCTGGATTGATTTAGTAAAACACAAGGAACATTTTATATATTCATTAAGCTGCGTCTACAAGTCTACACTATACATATAACAGAACATGTTACCTAGCAGATTTATAAAACTTGTTAGAGAAACAGAAAGAAAAATATTATATAACGTGATGTTGCATAACCTTTTTCGTGTTACATAGCAGGTTATATGTTATCCATCTAATGTAACGTCCTTATTAATAATGAGACGGAAAATGTTATACAAACTTGTTACATGTTGTATAGCAAGGTTATATGTACAACAATTTGTTCTATAACACTGTTTTGCTATACATACAGTGTAGACGCAGCTTTACACTACTGGTCGAGGCGTCACACTTATAAGGTACGCGCTCTTTTTACAGGTGGAGGCATTTCAGAGATCTCAAGGTCATCTTGATTTTTTTTAACGGAATGTCCTATTTTTTGTAACATAGATCGATAGAATACCTATCAAATTTTCAGAAAAAATGTGTTGATCTTTATACGTCCTAAACCTCATAGTTCTCGAGATATTTACAAAATAATTTTTAATGTGTACTTGCTATCTGGAAGCTACAGGCTATAACTGATAGGTGCTCGAACTGATGCGGATGCCCCTCAACTTCGATACAGTGATTTCAACACAGTGATTATTTTGTAAATATCTCGTTAACTATTAAGTTTAGGACGTATGCAGGTCAACACATTTTTATTCAGAATTTCATAGATACTCTATCGATCTATGGCACAAAAAATAGGTTATTTCGTTAAACAAAATAAAGGTGACCTAGAAATATCTGAAATGCAACCACCCTAACAGTCATATCGTTCGAATAATTCTGACCGGTACTGTATGTATGTAGTATGTATATATATGTGTATATATGTATATAAATCCTCGACTATAACTTTTTGGATTGTCTGCTTGTTGACGTTACTCGTCTGCCATCATTCGCAAGGTTGCGGAACGATCAAGTTTTATCCGATCGTGCACTTTTTCAATGAGTTGCGTGTTACGAACCGAAATCGGATGTCCTGGCTTTTCGCCGTCTTCTGTAGACCTTCGCGACCATCTTGAAACCGCGCGAATCCGCGAATTATTTGTGCACGGGATAAACATTTATTCCCATACATCTGATTCCAAACAAAACTTAATGTTCGCTCTTCGCTCCATTGCGTTTTTCTGACAATCGTCTCGGAGATACTAATGTTTATAAAGCTGTAATTAATGAAGTACATACATATCGGAAGTCAATGAAATATGAACGAGTAAATTGGTTGCATAGATTTGCCGCTTCACAACAATGATGTCTCCC